AAGCCTCTGAAATAATACTAAAGAAAGTGGATTTCATTGTAATTCATAGACTTGTTCCAAATGCCAAGAGAGAAAGGGAAAAGAATAGAAACCACATGGAACGGCGCAGATGCCCCGATGGAGGGAGAGCGAGCCCGCTCCCATTATTGTGGGAGGGAGGGTGAACCTAATCCATCAAATTGTCTGGAAATTGTGAAGAAAATTCAAAACCCATATGGTCTCCAAGCTTTCGGGTCCTTTCCGCGACGGAGAGGCACGCTTGTTTCCGCATTGCGAGCCGCGGGAGGTTGTACATGCTCCATTGTGCCTTGCCACTTCAGAGAAGAGGACTCATTTGTCCCCAGTTTTCATGCTTTACGCTGAAAATTACAACCCCATCCATTTGCAAAGAGGAGAGAGATTTATTTAGCCTCGGAGAAACTGGCCCCAAATCCCCCCTCCTCTTCCCCTGAAGCCCACCCTGTCTTATTGGGAAGGTTCTCTTTCTGACTCGGCTACTACCTACCAGATTTGTCTTTCTCACATAAATTTTGCAAAGAATAGGCAAACGCGCCGGGTTGGGTTGAAAAGGCAGGGCACGCCATGAGTGGAAACAAATTTAGCAGGATTTTTTTTTTGGGGGGGGAAGGAAGCGAGAGGGGGCGACACATTAAAAGAGAGGAATTGTAAATTAAAAATCACCCAGCAGCATCTTTTTGGGAGGAATCAGGGATGGTCCCTGAAAATATGAATATATTTGCAACTCGGCAGGGGGGGAAAAATCAAACCAAAACTAAAATACTACTTGTCCATGATCTTTAGTGGAAACAGATTTTCGCTTTGCATTTTCAAATTGGATATTTCCTCTCTGGTTTAGAGCTAAAACATCCGTAGTAAATCTCAAAAAATTCTACACGTGTGTATCATTTTCTATGTACACGTTTATTACTGGAATACTAAAATACAATATTATAGAATATACATTCTATATACCCTATATATATAGTGCATATATCACTATTGATATAGATACACATTAGTCTGTTTTAATTTCTTTGCGTGGGTTTTCCTTGAGAAAAGGAATCCTTTGCAACTCCTAGTTTATCCATCAGTTGTTTTCTCTCTACCGTTTAATTTGTAGCTTGTCTTGCATTTAAAAAAAAATCCGTTCCTCGTAATTTGTTCCTCCACCCCAAAAATAGTCACAGCTTCTTGTAGCTGAAGCAACTGGAAGTGGAAATAAGAACTGATACATATACAGGGAATGTGGCGATTCTTTTGTGGGACCGGATTTTGTAATCTCAGACGAGTAATCGGTAACTAGAGGTTCACAAAGAATAACTTTAAAAGTATATTAAAATGGTAAAGATTTTATTGTGTCGGAAAAAAGAACTATCTGTACAATTCTAAGAGACAGTAAATAAAGCAACATTGTCCCTTTTGTAACTTAAATAGCAGGCCTTTTAAATTTTTTTTACAAGTCAAACAAAAACATTTTTAAAGCTGTACAGTTTTAAAATTTAGAGCGTCATATTTAAATGTCTTGATCTTGGTATTTGTCCTTTTTTATTTTTGTAGCATGCAAAAATTCTAAAAAGAGTAAAAAATAATTCTAGTGTTTTTTTGTAACCACCTTCATATCAAAAATACGAAAGGTAGCTTTTTAATAAAAGCACAACAATAGCAGAAAATGGTAAAAATAGCTTTTAATTGGTAAAATGAGGCAGAAATTGCATTGGATACAAATATCTATGCTCTGAGGGCGTGGGAGGGGAGAGTACATATTTTAAACTTACTGTATAACCCATCCCCTAGTTCCCAATATTTTAAAATACTTTTGGTAAAAAAAAAGAAAAATTATTTCGTGCACATTTGAAACATGCAAGGAAAGGAGGGAAATTTTTCTATTTTTAGCCTAACTTAAATCTCCTAGAAACTGGTTCATTTTGGAAGCCTTTTAAAAATAACTGCCTAACACAAGGTCTGTTTGAAGTGGTGTACCTATTGCAAGGGCATGGTTTCCTTTATAACCAATACCAAGTCACATCGCTTTTTTTAAAAAAAAAATCAAACCCTCCAAGAAGGAAAGAAAATCCAATATCTATGTTTAAATATTTATAGAGAAGCCATCCATAATTGCACCGTTCCGAAGATGAAAACTACCTGATGTGACAGGCAGGGGACATTGACTTTATTTTAAATTATTTTTTTGTTCCTATTGCTTATTGCTTTTACTGAAAAGAAACTGCCTTGTTTAGTCGCAAGCATCGTCAGAGTGTCTTATCACCAGAGTTTATAGTGCTCGAGGACGGGTCGAGCTGTGCGGAGTTTTTCACAGGTCCAGCAAACAGAGGAGGGGTGGCTGCCAATTTCTGGGCTTGGTGTTTGTTTTTGGAGAAGAAGGAGAAAGGGGGAGGAAAGAGGAGAGAGAGAAAAAAAAGGTGTGTGCGTGTGTGTGGGCAATAAACCCATCCCCACCACCGCCACCGCTCAGTCATCAACGTCAATTTCCACATCTTCTTCGTCCTCCGAGCAGTCCTTACTGCTGCTGGGTGGGTCTGTGAGGGGGGAGTCAGGCGACAGCTGGAGGTGGCTGCTCGAGTCCAGTGCATGTTTGGGGAGCGCCGGAGAAAGGGACCGCGACTTTCCCCTCCCCTCCGAATTCTGCTCCAGCTCCGAAATGCTAACAATATCCACCTGCGCGCTGGGCCCGAGTTTCTTGGCGGACTCCACGTCCGCTTTCATCTCCTCCAGGTCTCGCTTGAGCTTGGCTCGGCGGTTCTGGAACCAAGTGATCACCTGGGCGTTGGTGAGGCCCAGCTGCTGCGCGATCTGGTCTCGGTCGGCGGGGGAGAGGTACTTCTGGTACAGGAACCGCTTTTCCAGCTCGTAGATCTGGTGGTTGGTGAAGGCGGTTCGGGACTTCCTCCGCTTCTTGGGGGTTTGTCTCTGGCCGAAGATCGTCATCCCGTCCCTGCCTGCAAACAGGTAGAGACGGTTTGTGGTGGTGGTCAGTCTCACACACACACACACACACACACACACACACAACCCTTCACCCCCTGGCAAAAATATGCCGGGGTGTCGGGGGCGCACAGAAATAAATAAAAGAACCCGACAGGAGCCGCGTTCAGCA